GAGCCGCAGCTTCAGCTGCTCAGGTAGAGAGGCTGTGTAGCCCAGTGTGTTTTTTCGCTGATTCGGTTCTGCAGGTTCTCTGCTGGTACACTGGAGACAGGGATCAAGCAGTTTGTCTCACTCGGGATAGATTGTGCTTTTTTGGTTCATAGTTTATGATTGATGTGCAATTTATTCGCATTTAGAGAGAATAAATTTCCGTTATAACGGAAACGTGGGCACAGTTATCTATATAAAATACACAGACTAACTAACTAACTAACTGATTGACTAACATAAACAACTAAAAATTGAAAAAAACATAGCTTGCACCGTTAGCTCCGGTAAGGGAAAGCATGAGGGAAAGCGGCTGACCGGAAGTCACACACAAAAAACCGGAAGTTGATCACTATTTACTTCCGTGTTTGGTGGATCTGTCTATGGGTAAAAATCATAGACATATATACATAGACGCCGCATCGAGTGCCTGAGCGCGTCCTCGCCGGCCGCCATCTTGGATGGGTCTCGCTTCGCCTCCACAGTGCATATAAATGCATATACATATACGAAAGTGCTGAAAACAACAGCAAAAAAAACAAAACCCGACACCCCCTTTCCTATTGGAGAAAAAATGCGCCATGTCAACCAATCAAAAAAAATGTATGGCAACACGCAGCATTTGTTGCTGGGGAAGAAGGGAAAGTTGTGGGAGGGACGGCCGCGAGAGAGACAGCGATAACAATCGCGATCATAGATAGGGATTTGTGACATTTAGCGTGTTTGGAGTGTATAGTTAGTGTGTGGTGTAGTGTGTTTTGAAAGAGGAGAGAGAGGAAAATGAGCCTCCGACGACCGCACTGAGTGGTACTCGGAGGTCCGCACAGAGGAGCGAACGGTGTGGCACGCCCACCAGGTCCGGATCTCCGCTGGCTGCAGGCAGCAGAGCCACGCCTCAGCTCTGAGTCCTGGAAAGACAGAGGATGCTGCTCCAGGTGGACAACAGGAGTGACACACCCTGGAAGTGTCAGGCCTGTGATGTGCCCCTCTGTGTTGTGGGGGACAGGAACTGTTTTTCAGAGTGGCACAAATAATTTGTGTGGCATCTGATTGTTTTGTAAATAGCTATAAATACTTGTTCAAAAAACGCCTGAGGCATTGCCTGCATTTTAATGTAAATAGTTATATATAACTTTGTTGTTTGCTAAATTAGGACATACGTTTTTGAAGTTTACAATTTATATTTCCATCCTAAGTTACAAAAATGGTTCGTTAGACATGTTTGTGTTTTTCACAGTAAAAAATCAAACTTTTTCCTACTCGGATTTTATGTTTTTTTGTGTGTGATTTTAGGTCCAGTGTGTTAATACAGTGTGTCAAAATGAAAAAATAACTGTAAAGTCACACAGGTGAGGTTGTGCTGAAAAGAATGATACCAAACAAGGCAAGGTAAACAGTTTTTGAAGGTGAAATTTAAAGGTAAAATCAAAAGTAGTCAAAAACGGCCAATTATCCCCTAGACCCCAGAGGGATTTATTAACATACCAGTAACTGATGTTTTGCACGTGCCTTATGTTTGACCATATATGGAGTTTTTCCTGTGCTCCAAGAGAGACACAGAAGGGTGCAGGGCGCTTTGGTTTTGGTTTTGCTTGTTTCACTGCTTTTGTTAGAGGTAANAAAGTTTTTCTGTAACTGTCATTAGCTCTGTGGAAAATGAATTGTCTTGGGTGTTTATCGTCCCCCGTCTGCTCTGTCAACTGCCATCTCTGATTTAGCTCATCTGATCTCCTCTTGCCTTTCCTCCGAAGTCATATTAATGGGCGACCTAAATCTTGATTGGCTTGAGCAACACTGTATATTATTTATCTATAAGGCATTGCTTAAAAAACTTCCTCTCTATTTATTGAGCTTACTGAATTTTCGCTCTTCTAACTACCCCACTCATGCACAAAACTCACTGGCTCTTAATATCCCAACTGTTAGAACGGAGGTAGGAAAAATTGCTTTTGGTTATTTCGCTCCTCTTTAATGGAATGATCTGCTGTCTCAGCTTCAGTTGGATACATTGATTCCTTTTAATCATTTAAACGCTTTCTTATTGACCTCATGCTTTCTGAATGCACATGTACTTGTTGATTTCATTATATGCTTCTGTTGTGTGTATTATTGTTGATACGTATTGTAATGTGTATTGAATTGTATTTTATTGTACTGTAATCAGGGCGCCATTGGAAATGAGAGCACGCTCTCAATTGGCCCTCCCTGAATAAATAAAGGTGATATATAAGTTACAAAAATGGTTCGTAAGACATGTTTGTGTTTTTCACAGTAAAAAAATCAAACTTTTTCCTACTCGGATTTTATGTTTTTTTGTGTGTGATTTTAGGTCCAGTGTGTTAATACAGTGTGTCAAAATGAAAAAATAACTGTAAAGTCACACAGGTGAGGTTGTGCTGAAAAGAATGATACCAAACAAGGCAAGGTAAACAGTTTTTGAAGGTGAAATTTAAAGGTAAAATCAAAAGTAGTCAAAAACGGCCAATTATCCCCTAGACCCCAGAGGGATTTATTAACATACCAGTAACTGATGTTTTGCACGTGCCTTATGTTTGACCATATATGGAGTTTTTCCTGTGCTCCAAGAGAGACACAGAAGGGTGCAGGGCGCTTTGGTTTTGGTTTTGCTTGTTTCACTGCTTTTGTTAGAGGTAATGAGGGAGAATGTTTTTGTTGAATACCACCAAGCTAGTTGAGCATAATTAGAAGCTCTTTTCTTTTACATAGAATTTTAATGTCCATATTATATGATTGTTAAGCTTTAAATAGAAACAGATTATTTACTCTGCAACCAAATTTAAGTTGGTGTTAGTGTCTTCACTGAAAGCCGCCTGTGACAGCCTCACTACTACAGGTAAGAAACTCCTTGGGATGAGCTGATCATTTTCAGTGCAGCTTTTAAATGCTTAATTGCTGAGTTAATACTGAATTGTCAATATGCTACATTGAATACTGTTAGTTTAACAGAGTGATGCTAAATGAACACTTAAAGAGTTGAGCAAACTGGATTTATCTATCTTGAATTGAACGTGAGATTTTTTTTTGTACTGACCTAATAGTATAAAGATAATAAGAGGCTGGATGCTGCCTCGTTAAACCAGGTGAGGCTCTTGAACATAGTCTTCCTCTGACGTACCACCAGACTCCCCTAAAACCTGCACAGCACAGACACTCTTTTATCCGGCCCTGTTGCTGTACTGTCACGGGATACTGTGATCTGACAGAAGTGATACGACCAAGTTGGCTATTGCTGGTCAACCTGAAGTTTCTTTAAGCAGGCTTCAAGTTAATGTTAAACTGTGTATAGAATACAGAAACCCATCTGATACCTGGGTCATTGATCATTCGCCATCACCAAGAAAGATGTCCATGGAAGAGGTATTGGCTAAGAACCTTGACACCTTTATTGTATTTATTTTTTTAATTTATTTTAGAAGTCTTGTGCTTTTACGTAGATGTGACTGTCAAAGAGCAGATGATGAGAGCAATGAATCAAGTTTTGTTCAGAGTACACCTAAAGGTCAGCCAAGGTTTGATTAATTAAAGCTGCTATGTGAGAAATTTAGGTACAAACAAAGCAAAACATGTTTTGATTCATATCCTGCTGCTGCAAGCTGTCATCATACCATTTACACTTGCTTCTGTAGTGTATTATTTTATTCATTTATCCACCGTCTGTACATTTATTTTCATTTCAGTTGTCAATTTATTATCTATTTATTTATTCAAACTCCACTCCCAGGAAGCAGTGATGAACTGTCAGGACAGAGGTGGCTACAGGGTGTTTCCCAGTATTTAACTCCTGATGACAAGAACTTGACTGAAAATATCAACACGTGAGGATCAAGACATCCATCAAGTTGCATCTGTGTGACCTAGCTTCTGACATTTGATGCGTTAAAAACATAAAACTGTTCTCCTGTGATGCTGCAGTAACATGAGGCTCACATGTGTGAATATCATGGCACCTCTTACTATAACTAATGAAAGGGTGATACCAGGTTTGTGCAAAGTAATATGTTACTACTACTACTACTACTACTACTACTACCAGGCCTGGAATTTTGTCATTTTAGGGGCAAGACCACTTTTTTGAGGGCACAAAGGCCAAAAGCCAGGGCAGCAAGCCCATAAAATAAAACAATGATTTTAAGTCCATATCCATAATGAATTTAAGGATTAAGGATGTATGTGAAATGAATAAATAAAACAAGCTAAAGTAATAATAATGAGTATAATAAGTAATAATGTGATTTATCTAATAGCACTAATAAACCCAATGTGTCTAAAAGTCACTAATTAAAACCCAGTAGTATCTCACTGGAATATAAATATTCCTCCTGACATCACAATACTGAGTGAAGAAAGTCACGTTATCTCAGCATGAAGACAAACATCAGTATTAGTCATTCATCCTGCTCTCTGTTCCTCCTCTACTGAGGACACTCGCTGTCTGCAGGTCGGCTGCCTCAGGTAGGCCTACATCCTCAGATAAAGTACAGACAGCTTTCATTTTAGTTTGTCTTTAATACTTTGCATATTAGTAATATTTGCTTGCCGGATAAGCGGAGGACGACGAGACGAGACGAGACTTTGCATATTAGCCTCGCGAGCGCGAATGAGAGATTGTGGACAGAGCAGATTGAAATATGGCTTTCTACATGCTGATCACATGTATTGATAAAGTATTGGCTTGGCTGGCAGAGGTTTTATTGCACTTACTCACAGTAACAAGTGAAGTCGTTAACTAGAGTAATCTTGAAGTTATATTCCCTTCACCTGCACCGCGGCCACACCCCTGCACAATGATGATAGGCTACATGAAACCGAAACTTTAAAAAGTAACGCCGATAATAGCGGAGCTTACTGTTATTACGGTCTTGATTAAATTTACCTTGGGTTGTTTAATACCGGTACCGATCCCTGCCCGGGCGTTTGATGAAGTCTCCTGGTTGGCCGGTGATAGACTGGTGTCAAACTGTCGTTATAGCCCGTCCGAGCGCTTCATGCCAGGCTGGAATCAAACCCCCCACTGGTGACGTAGCCTACTCATCGTCTCATTTGATGTTGCCCAATAAGAGTCCAGAATGTCATCGCATGCAAAAAAGACCCAGGTGTCAAAGCCGTGTTGACAGGAAAGAGGCAGAGGAGAAAACCGCAAAATCACCTGGGGCATCAAGGCCACTGTGGCCTTAATTTTTTCAGGGGCACAGGGCCAAATTAGGAGGGCACGAGGGCCAGATTCCTGCCCTGACTACTACTACTATTAATAATAATAATGATCATTTATTTTTCACAATTTTCATTTGATTGTTATTTCACCCACATCAACACATAGACACAAACCAGTTTCTCTCAGGAGCAAATGACATGCTTTCACTTATTACCAGAAACTCAGTTAACACATTGATACATGATGACTGATGAAGCAAAGTTACTTTGCTGAGATTGTCTCATTTTTATACAAACAAACCCTTTGCCATCGGAATGATTTAAAAGTCACAAAACGCATGAAGATTCCACACATTTTTTTAAAAATAAAATAATTGTACGGGCCAGTTTTTTTTGTGTAATTTTAATGTGATTATTCCTGCAAATAACAACAAAAAAAGAATTAAAATTTACACATAGTTACACAAATCTACTTGGGTTTTAAAAATCCTTCACAAAGCTGTGGAGTAAATGTTTTTAATTAAACATAACTCCTTCAANAAATAAAACAATGATTTTAAGTCCATGTCCATAATGAATTTAATTTAAGGATTAAGGATGTATAACTATCTGTGAAATGAATAAATAAAACAAGCTAAAGTAATAATAATGAGTATAATAACTAATAATGTGATTTATCTAATAGCACTAATAAACCCAATGTGTTTTAAATATAGAACAACCAGATTTATGTATTTATAAGCAAACAATCTTAAATATAAGGCCTAAATATTTTTTGAGTGTACATGATAAACTGATTCACTGAACAAGACTGGCTAACAATTATTTTTTAAAGTGTTGTTAGATAGCTAACAAACAAACAAACTACAGCAGGGCTATTCAATTACTATTTCAACTGGGCCGCATTTCAAAACCAGATAATGTTGATGGGCCACACTGTTAGCAGCAAGCAGCCAATCCACTTTTTTTTTTTTTCTTGCATACATACAGTACAGGCCAAAAGTTTGGACACACCTTCTCATTCAATGCGTTTTCTTTATTTTCATGACTATTTACATTGTAGATTCTCACNTGTCTCATTTTTATACAAACAAACCCTTTGCCATCGGAATGATTTAAAAGTCACAAAACGCATGAAGATTCCACACATTTTTTTAAAAATAAAATAATTGTACGGGCCAGTTTTTTTTGTGTAATTTTAATGTGATTATTCCTACAAATAACAACAAAAAAGAATTAAAATTTACACATAGTTACACAAATCTACTTGGGTTTTAAAAATCCTTCACAAAGCTGTGGAGTAAATGTTTTTAATTAAACATAACTCCTTCAACATACATGTGAAGCTAACCGGCGGTGCAGTTTACTCTGTTTTTCGGAGACCTGTCTGACAGGATATCGGATTCTCATGTTGACATGGAAGGCTTTACACTTCACAGGATGGACAGAGATCGTGCAAACACGGGCAAAAAATGCGGCGGAGGCGTCTGTCTGTACGTGAATGACAGGTGGTGTCATACTCAACATGTCACGGTAAAGGAGAGAGTCTGTGACCCGAATACAGAGCTTCTTGCGGTGAGTTGCCGACCTTACTACCTGCCTAGATAGTTCTCTCATGTGATTGTCCTAGTGGTGTACATCCCTCCATCGGGTAATGGGAAGGCTGCCACAGAGATAATATCGAGAGTCACACATGACTGCGCTCCTCTCCAGATGCGCTGGTTATAATAAATGGGGACTTAAACCACTGCCCTCTTTCCTCTTCTCTGCCATCCTTTAAATAAATGGTGTCCTGTCCTACTAGAGGTGACAAAACTATAGACTTGTTTTTTTACAAACGTTAAGGATGGTTTTGTCCCTAAATTGCTTCCTCCGCTGGGTCAATCTGACCATAACTTGATATCCTTGACGTCCAGTTATTCACCTGTGATACGGAAACATCCGATTACGTCCAAAACAGTGCGCATCTGGTCGGAGGACGCCTGTGAAACTTTACGAGGATGCTTTGAATGCACTGACTGGTGTTCTTTGATGGTGACAATGATCTGGACAGTATATCTGACAAAGTTACTTGTTATATCAACTATTGTGTCGAGTCTGTAATTCCCTGTAAAAAAAAATCAAAATCTTCCCGAACAACAAAGTGTGGGTGACAAGTGAGGTTAAGGCTGCTATTAATAAGAAGAAGGCTGCTTTCTACAGTGGTGATAAGGCTAGAATTAAAGATGCTCAAAAGGAGCTGAAAGCCATTATTAGACAGGGCAAACAGAAATATAAAGAAAGAGTTGAAGGACCTATGTCCAGTAGCAACACAAGGGGGCTTTGGAATGGTATGAAATCTATTACTGGATATGGGAGCAGCAATCCCAAGTTTTGTAGTTCGGGTATAAAGGCAAATGATGCCAACAGTTTCTTTGCAAGGTTTGATGAATTTGACTTTTCTTCTTTACATGAGAATATTCTCTCCTCACTTAGGCTGAGCAGCTGTGAGGACTGTAGCCCAGCTATTTCTTTTGACACTGAGGAGGTTCATCAGCAGTTAAGGCGTATTAGAGCTAATAAGACAGCAGGCCCTGATGGTGTCCATCCACGCACCTTAAAAGTCTGTGCTGACCAGCTGTGCTCTGACCTTCACTCAATGTTTTTAATGTCTCTGTCTTCTGCAAAAATACCAGTTTTATGGAAAACATCTTGCCTTGTCCCCATTCCAAAGAAAGCCAATGTGTCTAGCAATCTTGCTAACCTGAGACCTATAGCGCTGACTTCACACATTATGAAGTGTTTTGAGAGGGTTGTCCTGAATCACTTAACTAGGCAGGTGTCTTCTTTCAAGATCCTTTGCAATTTGCATGCAGGAAGGGTGTGGGGGTAGATGATGCAATACTTTTTATGCTGCACAACATCTACAGTCATCTTGAAACCACTGCCAGCTCTGTTAGGATCATGTTTTTTGATTTTTCTAGTGCTTTTAATACCATACAGCCACATATTTTAGCTAACAAATTAAATAATTTTAAACTGCATAATACAATAATTGCCTGGATTTTAGACTATCTTTTGGCACGACCTCAGTTTGTCAGGCTTGGTAACAAATTGTCTGACACCATTTTAACCAACACAGGAGCACCTCAAGGCACAGTTTTATCTCCTTTTTTATTCTCACTTTATACCGCTGACTTCAGACATAGTCAGCCATCCTGCCTGGTGCAAAAATTTTCTGATGACACCGCCTTAGTGGGTCTGCTTAACCAGAGCAATGATGTGGCCTATAGAAACGAAGTCCAATCCTTTTCCAGCTGGTGTGACTCTAACTTCTTAAAGTTAAATGTAGGGAAGACTAAGGAGTTAGTGATTGATTTTAGAAAGAAAAGAGAGGAGGTCCTTCCAGTGACAATTAATGGTCAGGAGATCGAAATTGTCGGGTCTTATAAGTACCTTGGTATCCATTTGGACAGTAAACTCAACTGGAAAGACAACACTGATGTCCTAATCAAGAAAGCTCAGTCTAGACTTTTCTTTTTGTGAAAACTTAGATCCTTTGACCTCAGCACAAAACTCTTAAATGTCTTTATCACGGTATCTTGGCTAGTGTTCTCTTTTATGCTGTACTTTGCTGGGGGGCCAGCATATCTGTGGATGACAAAAATAGGATCAACAAGTTGGTCAAGAGAGCTGGCTCAGTTATTGGTCTTACCCCAGACTCACTTGAGGTCACTGTGGAGAAGAGAATGAGGTCAAAAGTCAAAATGGTTCTGCTTTTTGAAGGCTACCCACTCCACCGTGTTTTTAAAGGACTCACTAGCTCTTTCAGTGAGCGACTGGTTATGCCTCAGTGCTCAACTGAATGACTGAGAAGGTCTATTGTTCCTGCAGCAGTCAGATATTTTAATGAACACTGTTAACTGTCCCGCTGCGGGATTTTATGTTTTTATGTATTCATTTGTTTATTTATGTATCATCATGCTATTATGTTATTGATTATGTCTTGATTGGCCTTTATCATGTCTCAGTGGCTCTTAATCACGCTTTGATGGTCTCCTGTATTATCTGTTATGTGTCATGTTTGTGCTGTTTGTTGGCTGTATGGTTTGACCTGATGGCAAACCAGTTTCCCTATTGTGATTAATAAAGCTTTTTTTTTTTTTTTTTTTTAAAGCAGCAACAGTTCAGGACAAGTACATGTTCAGGAAACATCTGCTCTCATTTGTGAATTTTCTCCTGATTTTGACAGTAGTTCACTTTTACTAAGTAAAATAAATCCCTGGCCATTAAAAAGAGAGAGTTACCAACCACCACAGAATTGTCATGATTAACATTGTTATATCATTAGACTGACATCTACCCAGCATGCGGATGCTGAGGAGACACCACTTAAAATAATTACATCTTTGTATATCACTGCTTAGAAAAAAGGTCCAAACAAGGACTGTATCCTGCTAACCAACACCTAACCAACAGTGTTTAGAAATCACAAAGCTCAGTCTGAATTAACCATTAACAACCTCTGGGTAGCCCCTAAAACCAGGAGGAGCTGGGTTTCCAGGATACATCCCAGGAGCGAAAATGACTGGAGGAGGCTGCATGTTGACAATGACAGCTGGTTGTTTCATGCGGTATTTCATCTCGCGATGCATCTGACACCAGGAGCACCACATACAGAAACAGGAAGTTGCGACGTCTTTACAGATAGAACCCTGTGGAGAACAAAGATATTCGTTATACTGTTTTTACTGTGTTTCTCAGTTATTATTTAATGTCTTACATCAATCATATGTTTAGTTTTAATATGACATGATGTCTTCCTGAACCTCAAGACTGTCTGTTATTCAAAGTGTGTCCTGTAATTTGACTATGTAAGGTATATAAATATATATCTTTTTTCTGTATAAGTACATTAGATAATAAGTAATCAGTGTACATCAGTTTTACACGTCTTACCTGGATACCATATTTGTGTCGAATCCAGTGTTTCCTCATGGGGGCCTACCACACTGAGAGTTGTTCCTGGTCTCCCGATGGGGGTGCCGTCAGGAGACCGCTCTGACCTGGGTGGCTGAAGGGCACTGCACCTCGGGGTGGAGCCTGTCTGCTGGGTCGGGGAGGTCTCTATGGCGGCGCTCCCTGTGGCCGTGGACCATGGGCCCTCTCAGTGTGAACGGCCCCCAGAGGTGGCTTTTTCCTTGCCTCAGGTCTCGGTGCTCGGCCATGTCTCTTTAGTGATAGCTAGTGTGTGTGTGTGTGTGTGTGTGTGTGTCTGTCTGTGTGTGTCTGTGTGTGCGTATGTGTATATTTATGTATCTCTATGTGGGGTGGGAGGGTTGGGTTTTCTCTTTTCTTTTTGTTTTCTGTTTTGGATCTTTGTTGTTTTTAACCTCTGTGAGGCACTTTGTGTTACTGTCATATGAAAAGTGTCATATAAATAAAGCTGATTTGATTTGATTTGATTTGATTTGATTTGATTTGATTTGATTTGATTTGAATGCCAACCCGCAGAGCCAAGGCTACAGGAGGTGCACACAGAGGGAGTCCACAGGCTGCTGTTATGGCGGGGCTGAAGATGTCACATAATGGGAGACAACGGTTATCTCCAAACTTTCCTGCAACCGAGCAGGCAAGACACGGACAGCAAAACAAACCATAGCAGCCTGAAAAACAAGTAGTTTTAAGTTGTAACAGTGTTGTAATATGCAAACTATCTGACTGAGGAAGGACACACAAATGAGAAAAGAAAGAATGAGGCCTTTTTACAAGTTCCCCACAACATATACCATTATTTTGGATGAATATGATCGAAAGATATGAAAGACGTGGTCTTACAGTAACATCTCTCCCCACAACAGTCAAAGAGGTCCGTGTTCCAGTTCATCAAGGGTTGCGCCATTGCCTCTTGAACTGTACCAAAGATGGAGAGCAATCTCCTGTTAACACACAAATATCAATGTATAAAAGTCTACAACTATATTTATCTAGCATATTCATTACATACTGTTAATACTGATCACACTGCTAATACTGTATATGTGTGTAATGACGCTGAAACTGAATGTACAGTTGTATTCTAATAGCAAGAAAATGATGTCACATTGCACTGAAATGTAATCGTTACTACAAGTATTTCCTCCATTAGTGCATCTTTGAATTCCCACATTCTTGATTTCATAGTACATTACAGTCACGTAGCAGAGTCATAATTTGAATGATTTTAGACTCAACAAAATACCTTCCTACTAAGCCCAAAGGTTAAAACACTTCATTTTCCAGATCCACTTTGTTTGAACCAATTTAACAGCATCCAACCAAGATGCAAGTCCATCAATTTTCGTAACCGCTTATCCTCTTGAGGGTCGTAGGGGTGCTGGAGCCTATCCCAGCTGACACTGGGCGAGAGGCAGGGTACACCCTGGACAGGTCACCAGACTATCGCAACACATAGAGACAGACAACCATTCATGCTCACATTCACACCTACAAGCAATTCAGAGTCACCAATTGTGTCTTTGGACTGTGGGAGGAAGCTGGAGTACCCAGAGAAAACCCGCACTGACACAACATGCAAACTCCGCACAGAGGGGCTCCCTCCTGGGACTGAGGATCACCAAATTACAAAATTGGTAACAAATATATACACATTTTAGGAAGTCCATACCCATTGAGTGCACAGAGCCCATGTACAGTTTCACAGGTCATAGGAAATTGCAGATTAAATAGTCAACTACCCATTAAGTAGAGCAATGTATTCAGACAGAGTTTTTATGAATTTGATAGTACGATTGCTTTATTGAAAGTACAGTAGTACCATTGCCAATAGTGGGATAGTTAGTGGGTTAAAACTGTACATTAGTAGTTGAGGTAGCACGTTGAAAGGCAGATAGTTAAAGTCATTGCCTTATAGAAGCTCAGTTTTAGTAAGTTTTCCAACTTTTGCCAAGAGGGAACTTCAGATATTGGTCCCTAGATTATGTTCACAGAGTTTCATGCAGATCGGTCAAACTTCCTAGGAAGGGATCGATTTTAAGTGTTTTTCAAAAAATTCAAAATGATGGAAAATCTATATAACCTGAAGTTATGGGTTCTTGAGGCAAATTTGTTCCTCATGAGGAGAGGCATCTCTGTGCAAAGTTTCATGTCTCTACGACATACGGGGCATGAGATATGCCCATTCAAAGTTTGCAATTTCAATCGGTTGCTATAGCGCCCCCCTTTGGCCAATTGATGTAATATTGCTTCATTTGCATCCTCCCATGACCCTCTACCACTGTGCCAAATTTCACATGGATTGAAGTCAGTGAGGAGAAAAACGTGGAACAGACACACCCAAACACACACACCCATAGGCAGACAGAGTTTTCGTCATTATATTGTAAGATTATTACTCCGATGTTAAAATGGCACTACATTTTGTGAAGAGTGCATGAGCCTTTTTCACAGCAGACATTTTGAATTGTCACAGTAGGAAAAGCACAGGTGAAACAGATCACATTCACGATGGCTTAGTTCCATTAGGTGTCCTGGTAAGCTATTCCAGTTAGCCAGCATGGACAATACCAAGGCCTCCCTTAAATGGAATGCAGCCATCATCAATATTCTTGAATACACCTGTGCTTCTGCTGTGGAAAAGGTCTAATATGACTTGTTTAGGACTAACCCTAAACTCAAAGTTTAGAACTTGGGACTTGAGTGCAAAGACTTGCGACTTACTCGTGACTTGCAAAACAATGACTTGGTCCCACCTCTGATACAAAGACAATTAGTTTGACATGTATAAAATAAAGTGACTTTGTCAGAGCGCAAACCAGGTGGAGCTGGTCATTCTGACTGTCAGTATGAATGACGTATTACTAGGCTATGGACTCTGCAGTGTTTTCAAACGGTGAGTCGAGCACATCAATTCTTTTGTGTTTGAGTGACAAGAACGCCAATAAGCAGCAGGGAGTGCCTACAGGAGTTTTTTTGTACCCTCGGTTTTGTGAACGTCTTGATGGACGAGCTTTCTCATAAATACTGGCTACAAAGCTGTTCAGCAAATGTTAATTTTGTATCAGCAGGAACTTATTATAATATGATTATAGTCTTACATATGGTGAACATAATCTGTATAGGCTTTTGCCTTGCTCTAGTGTGTAATATCTTGTGATGTGTGACATCCAACAGTGAAGTAAATTATTGATTGTTGTCCAATCAAAATACCTGTCTGTCCATTAATAACCTCCTTGTGAGTGACCCACATTTTCCCTCTTCCAGTCATAGACAGAGAAGGAGTCGCCATGATATAAACACATGTTTTATTGTAAGAATCAAGTGTGTTTTTAGATGTAAACACTGATGAATTCTTTCGTTACCAAAGTAGTACCAAACAGTAACTGGTAGTCCACAGAAATAACCTCTGTTTTTGTGGCAAGGTCAGTAAGACAGTTTTGCCCCTCATAAATCTCTTTGCTGATGATGCTTTCATTTTACCTTTAAAATGAAGACATCTGACTTTTCTTTTCAGTATAATTAAAGATCAATTTTGCTCCACATAAATCTCTTTGTAAAATCCTGCAAGCTTCCAACACATCAGATTAAGCTTTCATTTTACCTTTAAAATGAAAATATTTACTTTTCTCATCAGCAAAATGAAAAATCTTACCTGATTAGTTTAAAGCCTTGTTGTCCCTCAGAAAGCTGTGAAAGAACACGTCATGTACGAGGAGTGGCGCCTCATCCACACTAGCAGGTAAGCATTAACAATTCTGCAGAACCTGAACCTATGTGCAGAGAGGCAAACCAGTCAGACTCTAACTATCTGAAAAGTGAGAATAGCAGCACATGATTTTCATGGGTGTTCTTTTTCTTACCTTGCATGTAATTATGTTTGACTCATTGATGGGACTTTTGCAGATCCTTGCTTGTAGAGTAATACACTCCTTTGGATGGTTTCATGTGTTTTACTGTAGATAAACATTTTTAAGAAACATAAGTTGAACCAAACACCAACTTTAGTTTCAGTGTAGCCTGTTTGACATTAAGATATTTCAGGAATGAGGTTCAACATATAAATATCACTGACTGAAGACAGGTGTCCTTTGGTGATGTATGTGATGTTCCACCTGCATAAATATATATAAACTCCCGAAGAGCCAGCAGAGATTTTTTTTTTAAAAGTATCACTTCGGTTTTTGTTCGGTAGATGTTTTTAGTTCTACATTACATATGAAATCAGACTTTTATAGGCGTCATATCTTGAGTCTATATTTCTGTCTCATGGCAATCCAGAAAGACAAGGCTACAGGAGGCGCAAATAGGTGAACAATTAGGCTTTTTTCACTATGAAAAAAATTTGTTGCACCTGGCAAGAATGTCCCATAAATAATGTTTGTAAATGTAGTTCAACAACATAGCTTGCAAACAATGCAGCGCTGTAAAATGTTGGCTCTTTTACAAGAAAATCTGATCTGAGGTGCATTTGCAGTTGCCAGAGTGCGACTTTTATGTAATTTCCTATCATCTTGCAGCCATATTATGTTAGGGACTGTTCTTTACGAATCAGAGGAGGGGGGTGGCTGGGGTGTGACTTCATTTCTTTTTTGACCCTCCTCAAAGATGTTTTATCTCCAGCTTCCCTGAATGACTGGTGGAAAATGCACGACCCTCCATCCACTGTAAATAGGTTGTTAGATTTTAAAACCTCCAACCCTTTGATGTTTGAAAGTTAAAAGTTAAAAGTTGAGTTGAACAAAGCCATGGTTTTTCTGCTTTCCACATGCACACTAGTTAGTTCGCACAAATGTTTTTTTTGTGTTGTTTTGTTTTGCCCAAATTTTAAATTAGACATAGAATAAAGTGATTTTGGTAAAATATCACTAGGAGCTTATTCTTGTATTCATTTTTTCTGACAGAAGCGTTTGTCACACATGCTGTGTCCAAGGACTGTCAGAAATATGAAAATCCACCGAAAATCTTTGTTTTCACTGTCTGGCTGTGAAGAGAGTTTGGTGATTTTTAAAGAAAGCATTTCTTCTTTTTTGTAATCATAAAAATAATAAATACAAATAAACACAAAATACAAGCATTTATCTTTGTATGCCCTTCTCATAAGCTTGAAAAAACACAGGTCCCTCCTTAGTGCTTTTAAAAAAATATTTGACATTCCTTCCCCTTTTTTTCACCACCCCCTTCCCCCCTAACAAGTAATGAACACTCCCTTAGTACAAAATGTGATCTAGTGACTGTGAGAGCTAAAGCACAGTCACACTTACTAAACCTTTCATTGACCTCTGATGCCCTGCATTAAGCCAGTACAGTTTTTCATTTAATATTACACCTATCTCATGATGAATACAATGAACCTTTCATAAACCAGGTGACCTCTCAACGGTCTGTAGCTCCATCTGTTGGTCATCAGTGGTAAAGCATTAAAGTTCAAACTCAAAGAGAGGTTGTGTGACATGATTTAAACATGACTTTGCAGAAATAAGATTACTTGTGTAGAAAACTAGCCATATGTAATTTAAACAGCCACTGTGGAAGTGTCAGTGAGACACCCTGACCACAGCCATTTCATTCAGTAATGCTCTTAAAAGTTGTGGCCATCTCATTTTATAGAATTTTATTGTATTTTCCATCATAAAGCAAGCTTAAAAGATATATCATTCTGTGCTGTAACTCTGTAAGTGTAGGTCATTCTGTAGATCCAGCCTTTCCCGAAGTTGATAATAGAAGAATATACAGTTACATTAAAGACAACTTAATTATAGTACAATGCTGCTGATGTCTATTAAAGTCACATATTTGCTCCATGTAAAGAAGAAAGACCGAGCTTTTGGGCTCTTCTTACTTAGCTCTCCATTAGTGGACTGACATTTACCCAGCATGCTCTGATTCCAAGGGGACACAGCTTAAAATGGTTACATCTTTGTATATCAGTGCTTTAAAAAAGGGTCCAAAAAGGACTGTATCTTCCCACACCTAACAAAAAAGGAATTAGCTTTTACAGTGTACGATCACAACAGGGTCAGACCACAGATAATTGATCTGAACTAAATCAAAGGTCTTTAACGAGACAGAGCAGACCAATTAGAAACCACAAAGCTCAGTATGAATTAGCCATTAACAGCCCCTGCTTGGCTCCTAAAACCAGCAGGAGGTGGGTTTCCAGGAGTTATCGTACTGGACCAGGCTGCATGTTGACAACGACAGTCGGTTGTTTCTTGCGATATTTTAACTCACGATGCATCTGACACCAGGAGCACCACATACAGAAACAGGAAGTCATGATATCCTTACAGATAGAACCCTGTGGAGAACCAAAGTATTGGTTTGGGTCTTTTTACTGTGTTTCTCAGTTAATATTTAAAATTTACACACACACACACACACACACACTGTAGATGTACACTATACTCTGCATCAAAACATCATGTAAGAAGTCAGTGTGCATCAGTTTTACACGTATCATACCTTGATACCATATGCGTGTCGAATGCCAGTCCGTAGAGACAAGGCTGCAGGAGGCGCACACAGAGGGAGTCCACAGGCTGCTAATATGGCAGGGCTGAGTATGTCACATAATGGGAGACATCGGTTCTCTCCAAATTTCCCAGCAACCGAGCAGGCAAGACATGGGCAGCAAAAGAAACCATAGCAGCCTGAAAGACAAGTAGTTGGATAAAAAAAAAACAAATAAAGAATGAGGCCTTTTTACAAGTTCTCCACAAAATATGACATTATTTTGAATTAATATGATTGAAAGTTGTGGTTTTGATTCTTACAAGAACACTTGTCCTCACAACAGTCAAAGAGGCCCGAGTTCCAGGCTGTCATGGAGTGCGCCATTGGCTCTTGAACTGTACCACAGATGGAGAACAATCACCTGTTAACACAGAGATATCAGTGTATAAAAGTCTCCTCCTCTGGTTAGATGCTAAAATGCATTTTGTTTTCTCAGTACCTGTTCTCTGTGCAATCACAATTGAGTTGAACAATCTTACAGTGAAAAAAATCTGTGTGAAATAATGTTTCAGTTCACTTAAAAAACATGTAATCTGATCAGTCAATTCACAAATTATTGATTTCATGGAACATTACAGTCAGGTACTATATAAAGAAATTAGTTTGAAATGAAAATATGTTGTAACTTTATCCATTGACCTCTAGTTTGACTGCAGCAAACTAGGTGGTGCTGGTCATTCTCACGGTCTCACCCAGTTCCTGTGAACGAGGTGTGCTTAAGCTACGGGTTCTGTTGTGAGAATGACAAGAATCAGGAAGTGCCTACAGGAATGTTTTGTGTCAATGGCTTTGTGAACGCCTAGATGGACGAGATTTCTTTTATATGTAAAAAATCTGCAAAATATTAGAAACATGACAATATTGCCAACAACCCTGTCTGGCAAAAATTTTGCACCAGCAACAGATTTTTAGAATTTTAGTATTACATATATGTTGAATATCATCTACAGGCTTTTGCCTCACTTTAGGGTGTGATATCCAACAGGTATGTGAAGTTAATTATTGATTATTGTCCAATCAAAATACATTGACAGTGGCAACAGATGAACCTGGGGGAGAAACTATCTTCTCTTACTACAGTGGGTGTTCCCAACACTCCCCAGGGTGTGTGAGTTTGTGTCACATAGGACTGTAATGTGCAGTGGCTGTCCACCAATAGTCGCCTTGAGAGTGACTCCAATTTGCCCCTTTACACGAGAGTTGGAGCCGCCATGATATAAACACAGATTTTTTTTTGTAAAAATCTAGCAATATGAATCAATTAGACAGCTTTTACTGTGTTTTCATATTTCAATACTGATAAATCTCTTTGTTACCGGGGAGTAGTAGTCACACAGTACCAACAGTAACTGGTAGTCCTCAGAAATAACCATTGTTTTTGTGGCAAAGTCAGTATGACAACTGGTTCATGAGGCTTTGTTACCAAAAAAAAAGTGTAAATCAACAAGCTTGCATTTTACCTTTAAAATGAAGATGTCTGACTTTTCTTTTCAGTAAAATTAAAGATCAGTTTTGCTCCACATAAATCTCTTTGCAAAATCCTGCAAGCTTCCAACACATCAGATAAAGCTTTCATTTTACTTTTAAAATGAAAATATTTACTTTTCTCATCAGCAAAATGAAAAATCTTACCTGATTAGCTAAAAGCCTTGTTGTCACCTCAGAAGATGTGAAAGAATATGCCATGTATGAGGAGTGGCACCTCATGTACACTGGGCAAGTAAGCACAAACAATGCTGCAGAACCTGAACCTACATGCAGGGGTAAAAACAACTTTGCACATTAAGAATAACATGCCCATTGTTTTTTTGTTGTTGACACAGGTGTGGCAAACCAGTCAGACAATAACTATGTAAAGAGAGGGACAATGGCAGTACATGATTTTCAGTCTTTTTCTTACCTTGCGTTTAATGATGTTTGAGTCACTGGTGGGACTTTTGCAGTTCACTGGTTGTAGAATAATATTTTCCTTTACATGATAATTATGTTTCATAGTAGAAAAAAATCTAAACAGAAGCTGAACCAAAAACTGACAGTAGTTTGCAGCCTGTTTAACATTAAGACTTTTTTCCTTTGGTACTGATTTCGAAAAAAAGAAATATTATTTCACAACTTCTTTACCCTGAAGAAGAACTAGTTGTTACTTCACTTTTCATTATATTGATGAACAACTGATATTCCCAGACGGGAACTTTGATACAGGGAGTTTCCTTGCATCATACAGTCATCTTTGGTATAAAATGCGATGTTGTGATTGAAAGGGTTAAAGCATATTCACAACTATTAAACCTTTCATTGACCCCTGGTGCCTTTTATTAAATCATACCATTTTTTTTAAAAAAATTGAATTTCTCACCTATTGGATGATCAATATGATATGTAGCAGGGAGAAACTAGGGGTGCTTTCACATACAATCCTTTTTAAACACACCAAACTCAGTCCTCTTAGGGTGTTGTCACACTTGGTCCTTTTCAGTCCTCTAGGCAGACTCAGAGCTGTGACTCATTTTTTGCGC